GGGGCAGTTACTCTGAGTCACCTTCTCTTTGCTATAGCTCAGGAGAAAAGATTAGAGGAACTGAAATATCAATCTACGGAGTGGATTATATCAATCTAAAGGAGTGTCAGGCTGCCTTTACCTTTAGAAAGGTCCTCCAGAGGATCGATGAAGTGCATCATATTTTTCCACCGTCAACTTTATAATCGGCGATTTTTATGATCCAAGCATCGGCTTGTTTAAATCATATCATCGATTCAAATCAACTCCACTTATTCAACGTCATTTATCGCCTCTTCTTTTTTTTTTTTTTTTTTTTTTTTTAAAAAAAATTTTCGGTTTATTTCTAGTTCGGTTTTTAGTGTATTTTCCGAAGGAAATACACTATTGCGTTCTCCCCTGATGTCAGACCTGGACCAAAGACCATGTAATGAGCATCGATCATGGGTCGTAGATTACAAATATATATGCCGTTTGTATTCATGTTTATATATTTATATATATATCTGCTTATTTATGTATGTATTTCCGACTCATCGTGGTTTTTCCGATTTTTGCTTGGTTATATTTCCCTCATTTTAAAAAAATTCCGGGTGAAACTTTTTGCGATGTAAAGTAGAGGAACAGGACTACAATTCTGCGAAAAAAAAACGGAGATCGAAGTATTACATTTCGAATGGTGGGGGCGAGAAGTGGAGGGAGGTTCAATTTTGTGGGCGCGATAACTTGCGCAAATTAAAAGCTTTCCCCCGAAATTTTTACAGAAGGAAGATCTTACTTAGTTCTAGGCTGGTATTGAATTAGAGCGAAATCGGTTGAGCCGTTTGAAAATGGCGAGCTTTGAAAGTTTTAGGCGGGGGGGGGTGTGCGGCAAGAGAGGAGGGAAGCCGCACAGTGGGTTACGACCTGAAAATTGGTGGACAAGACGGGAATGTTGTCGCACAGTGGGTCACGAACTGAAAGTTGGTGGACAAGACGGCAATGTTGTCGCACAGTGCGTCACGAACTGAAAATTGGTGGACAAGACGGCAATGTTGTCACACAGTGGGTCACGAACTGAAAATTGGTGGATAAGACGGCAATGTTGTCGTACAATGGGTCACGAACTGATGAACTGATAATTGGTGGACACGATGGCTAAATTGTCGCACAGTGGGTTACACACTGATAATTGGTGGACAAGATGGCAATGTTGTCGCACAGTGGGTTATGGAGATTCATCCATCGTCATTCAAGCTTGCCACAGTGTTTGTTGACATTTTTTCATATCAGACATTACATGAGGATTGTTTTTGCCATCTGGCGACATGAAGTCCCTATTCGAATAATCAATGCCTCCAACAGTGTAAACGTAAATCCAACCCCCAGGGATTGATAACTCCCCGCCCCCGCCCCTCCCTTCGGAAAATACACTCTTCCCGCGGTGGACGCGCGTCCTGGGAGGGGCTGGGGGNGGGGGCGAAGCCCCCCCAAAAACCGGCGCGGAGCGAAGCGGAGCGCCGGTTTTTTTTAGATATTTTACCAATAAATGGATAATGTGTAATGACAGCTTTTCAAAAGTACACCTTGAGTTCTCAGAAGAGAAAAAAAAATGAAAATTGCAGTGCCTATTCATGAGATGCTCGGATTACCGTGGGAAAACCCGCCTTTTTTGAGCATTTCCGGCCGGTTTCCATTTCCGTTTAGCTCCGTAACCCATCGATGCACTTTTATTAGTGTTAAGTACTCGAAAGATTACACCATACGGTTGAAGTAAAGAGATAAAATTAAAATTTCAGTGACTATTCAGGAGATGCATCGGTTCCCGTGTAATAAATCGTTTTTCGCCGTCATTTTTGAGCATTTCCGGCCGGTTTTAATTTCCGTTTAGATCCGTGCCCCATCGATGCACGTTAGTAAGTGTTTGTTACTCGTAAGTATATACCTTAAGGTTGAAATGGATGGAGAAAATTGGAAATTGCAGTTACAATCCATGGAACGCATCGGTTACGATGTGAAAAATCGCCTTTTTGCGTAAATTTCGAGGATTTTTGGTCGGTTTCCGGTTTCCCTCAGGCCGTTAATCGATCGGTGAATGTATGGGAAGCGTTGCAAGTCTGATTTTGTACATATTAGAGGGTAAAAAGGGAAAAAATATCGATAATTGAAGAGTTTACTATCGAAAGATTTGGATTAACATGTAGAAATTCGTCTTTTTTACCATTTTTGACCTTTTTTGGCATATTTGAATTTTTTTAGGCCCTTAACCGTCCGAGTTCCATTGAAAAAAGTATATCAACCAAAAGTATATATCCTAAGCTTGAAGTTAAAAAAAGAAAATCGAAAATCTGAGAGACAGGTTTTTGGAGAATTCAGTTTGAACATTGAATGGAGAAAAAACCCTAAATTACGGTCATTAGAATAATTTTTAGCTAAATTTCGATGGCATATTCAGAATGTACATGAAAAACTGGTCTAGAAACACTCTTTCAAAGTATGATGGATTGATACAGAGTCTCGCTATGGAGAGTCAAAGAGAGGGAAGTCGAGAAAATGAGAATCGCTAAAACGGGCGTTTTAGAATATCGCTAAAATTCACCCCATCTTTGGGGGTCCTTATCTCGCGAACGGGGCGTCAGATGGGAAAACCCTTCGAATTAGTTTCTTATAATGATGTAAAGACCTCGTATACCAGTTTTCAGCCAAATCGGAGGGGGTCCGGTTCCGAGCCTGGCACAGTTGACGTGGAATGACCCAGTTGCTTTTCTAATCCTAATATCGAGGTTTTTCCGGACCAGTGCTCCTATTCGCCCATACAGAGTGATCCAAAAGTCCCTTCCACCCCCTCTAACTTTTTACCTAATTGAGGTAAAGATTAGAAACTTGGGGGATGTTCCTAGGTCAAAGGGAGCTACTTTTTGGCCCCCTAAAATTTTCAGGGGGGCCCCCGGCCCCCCTTGGGGGGGGGGGAACGGACCCCAACTTTTAATTTTCAAATAGGAAGACCCCCTTTGTGATAGCTCGTTTGAAAAAGCATAAAAAAAGAAAACTTTTCACGCAAACCCGAAGTCAATATCTCAAACTGTTCCAAAATGGCGGCCGGTTAAAGTTCAAAACGGCCGAAAATTCACACCAGTTATTTGTCGATGGATTTGCGCGAATATCGGACTGTAGAGGTATTTTGACACGAGAAAAGCGAATTTGACGTTAGATTTTCAAAAAACCGAAATTTCCAAATGGCCGCCGCCGGTTTAAGTTTAAAATGGCCGAAAATTGTCACCTCGGTTCTTTGCTGATGGATTCGCCTAAATCTTGGAATTCGAGAGTATTTTGGCATAAGATAAACACATTTGAACTTAGATTTCTAAAAAATCCAATTTTGGTCATTTTGAACTTTCGGGTAGAGGCTCTACCCGAGCGCGCGACTAAAGCCGTTCTCACGCGTTTTCTACTCGTCACAAAAAGAAGGTTTCGGTATAGTTTTGAAGGTCAGAAAATCCTCCACCCACCTCAAGAAAATAAACGGCTCTAATTGCGCCCAGAAACAAAAAATCATCGGCTGTTAAGATGATCGAAATTAAAAAATTCACGTATTTTGTCATAATATGGCATATTATTTAAAGGTAAATGTAAAAATGCACATTATTTGAAAAGGTCTTTAAAGTAGCTTTCAAACGAGACCAAAAGTTTGAAAATCGAACGAATAGTTGGAGAGATACAGCGCGTTTCACACGTGTGAAGCGCGCCCGTGGCCATGAACGCGGGGTGGAAATCGCGCGTCGCGGCCGATCGCGCGACACTTATTTTAAATGGCTCTCGCGGGCTAACTACTCGTAGCACAAAAATGGTTTTGGTATCAAATTAAACGCGAGATTAAAACCCATCTCTTTAACTTGACCTCTTCACCTCTCCCCCTCAGGGGAGGGGGGGGGTAATGATTGGAAAAATTCTTATGATCAGTGACCTTTTTTCTCATTCTTCTTTTAAACCGTCGACTTTTGAGGAAAATATCAAAGGACTTTACAAAGAGTACATAAAATTTAATATCAGCTTACTACAAAACAATTCTAAAAATCTTTAAATCTTCACGCTGAAACTTTACTAGAACTCGTTCAGATAAGGCTTGTCTAGCACTGAGTAACGGAGTGAAGCCCCGATGCAAATTCGGGGGCTCCAGCGCGTCACCGATGGATGACTGTTGCCGCATGCAAGTTCGGTTGAAACAGCGACGGCGCGTTCCGAGGACCCACTGCCTATAAGTTATAATGTCTTCGTAAGCAACAGCTGAGCCAATGCACCAAGATTGTGAGATTGCCAAATTTTCATGTGATCAGATAGGATTCAACTGGTTGATCAGATAAGATTCGTCTGGTCAATAGGATAAGGTTCTACTAGTCAATCGTAAAAGATTCAACCGGTCTATTGAAAAGGATTCTCCTAGTTACCTTCATTGAGTTAGATGAAGCTGGTCCATTCACAAAAGTTTGATCGGTCCATTGAATGGGATTCATCCAGTTGATCTAATGAGATGTTTCTGGTCCAAGGATGGGGATTCAATTTGATGATTCATTGACTTTCCACTGGTTATTTGAATAAAATTTGCCTCGTTCATTCATGAAAAGCTCTAGTGGTTAACTGATAGAGATTCGAGAAGTTGATGGAATACGATTCAAATGGTTCAAGTAGGTAAGATTCGACCACATTAGTGAGTGAAATTTCACTGGTCCGTTAAATGAGATTCTACTCTGTTTATGTCAAGAGCAGGAAGTGTAAAACATACACAAAAACTGTCACCATCAACTCAACTTACGAGTTGAATTTGGATATGACTAATGCACCCATTGGATTCTACGTAGAATTGTAATAAGGAAACATGTATAGAGGTGCTAACTTTTGTACCTTGTTTCGTTATCCGCTGCATTGCTTGTTATCATTCATCAGTATGTTCAGCAAGATGCTGCTGCTTCATATAACTCAGGACACTGACATTTCATTTACATCTCAGATGGTGGGCACCAAAGAACACGTTAAAAAGTACTCACCCTGTCAGTGACAAGTGGAAAATAAGACAAGCGAGGTACCATCAAGTAATATGGTTCTGGTGCTGGCACTCCACTAATTTCTGACTCGCCAAGTTGAAAACAAACGGGAAGTTTACCCTCCCAAATCCCTCTCAATACTTCGCGATCGTTCGCCATGGACATGTTGTACCGGTTGTACTGATAGTACTGTTCTAGTGATCTATCAACCATTAGCAAGACCATTAGTCTCTCAGTCCAAGGTAGATTTACACAGGTATGGACAGAACTAAACAACTGGCCTCTGATTGGCTCTCCAGCGGCCCCTTAACGTCAGCCATTTTGGATGTTTTGATTATTTTGATTTATTATGTTCGGTTTATCGTTTGTCAAAATTTTGTGGGGTTTTCTACACAATTTTGGTTATGCGATAATAATTTTAGCGTTTAAACGCACAAACGTTTGAATGTTAATTTGATTGTAATTTAACAAGGCGGATAAAGAATGGTGGTCGCATTTCGATTTTGGCTGCCATCTTGAACATGTGTGACGTGCAGAGGGTACGGGCTTTTACCGCGAGATTTGAAATGTACCCGAAGTGTACCCGATGCGATGCCGCGGCGCGAGGCTCATACAACTTCCAAACGGAATTATGAGTTTTCCTTCCTAATGAAACGCTTTCAGATCGTAGTCTGAGTTAAAATTTTTACTGAGAATTTGCAAGGAAGTTACAATCATTCTAATGTTTAATATTTCTGGCTGAAATTTGTGTTTAAAGAAATGTACCCGATGTTCTCGTTCCTTCACGCACATGTGCAACTTTCTGAAGAAACTGGACCTATCATTTTGGACTTAGTATATTTCGGATTTTTGAGAGCTGTAATGCGGTAGTTTTTCCTTAAAAATTTGGAAATAACGTCCAATCGTTCTTCTTTTTGATGCTTCAAGGAGAAATTTGTACTTTCGGAAATTTGGGAGACAAGTGTGAAAATTGGAAAAACGGAAAGGGGGTCGGGGATTTCTGACAAACAAGGGGAGGACTCCCCCCAGATAAGGAGGTTCGGGGGATCCCCCGAAAAATTATATTGATAATCAGGTATCCATGGAGAAAATAAGAAATATTAAAAAAAAAATAAAAAAAATTAAAAAAAATAAAATAAAATAAAAATAAAATAAAATCTCTCACGGTTTTTAAATTATTTACTGATAAAGATAGCAAAATAAAATACACCGCAGTAATTTCACTTTAAATTCGGGCTATCAACGCCAGAAATACTTACAATGAACAAGTGACTATACAATACCAATACCTTGTAGCGTCAGATTGCAGCGTAAACCTCAAACCCTCCGCAGTTGGGTTTGTTTACAATCGTGACGTCAAGAGGGTACGAGATGCGACCACCATTCTTTATCCGCCTTGGTAATTTAATTAAAAAACGGGCCCCTTAACCTACGTCACGAGGTCATGTGACAGGTGACACGTACTGAGGCTCATGGGAAATTTTCAACTTGTCCATACTTGCTCTCAGTCCATAGATGCGTTGTTAAAGTCCACAACTATGGAACGCCGTTAGTGTCAAAACCCTTTTCTTGCGCGCGCGGAATTTTTTCTGGCGCGCGGAATATTTTTTCGGCGCGCGGAAAGAAAAAACCCGTTTTCGATGAAAATCTCTAAATTTCCGGATTCCGCGCCGGTTTTCGATATATTTGCGCCGTTTGTGTCAAAACTATTATTGTCGGCGCGCCGCTTCAAATCTGTTCCGCGCGCGGAATTTTCGATATATCGATTCCTGCTCGCCGTTTGTGTCAAAACTATTTTTTCCGGCGCGGCGCTCCAAATCTGTTCCGCGCGCAGAATTTTCGGTACATCGATTCCTGCTCGCCGATCGTGTCAAAACTGTTTTTTTACGGCGCTGCACCAGAAAATAATTCGAAAAAGTGGCGCGCGGAATTATTTTCTGGTGCAGCGCCGGAAAAAACAGTTTTGACACGATCGGCGAGCAGGAATCGATATATCGAGAATTCTGCGCGCGGAACAGATTTGGAGCGCCGCGCCGGAAAAAATAGTTTTGACACAAACGGCGAGCAGGAATCGATATATCGAAAATTCCGCGCGCGGAACAGATTTGAAGCGGCGCGCCGACAAAAATAGTTTTGACACAAACGGCGCAAATATATCGAAAACCGGCGCGGAATCCGGAAATTCAGAGATTTTCATCGAAAACGGGTTTTTTCTTTCCGCGCGCCAGAAAAAATTCCGCGCGCGCAAGAAAAGAGTTTTGACACTAACGGCGTTCCATACCGCAACTGCCCAACGAAAATTACCCGCTGAGCGTTGAGCTCAACGAAAGCGTTGGTAAATTCTGGTGGATTTACCCGTTTTCCAAGGCGGCTGCTCAGCAAACTGCCCAACAGCTCAGCGAGGTTTTCGGCTGCTGTGGACCGCTGCCGAGTTTGCTGGATTGTTGTAATGTTACATCCATAACCGCCATTTTTTCGCACTTCTTCGCCACATGTTCGTCACCAGACTGACTTTCAATTGCTTATAATCGTTTATTGCGTCAATTTCGTAATAATGTGGGTGTTAATAAGATTTTTAAATGTTAAAAATCTTAAATTTCAACAAAACTTAACCTTCAAATCCGCAGAATCCAACGGGAATTTAACAACGACACCTTGATTTTCTCCCGTCTGTTGAGCTGACGTCGTCGTTGAGATGACGTCAATCCTGCTAAGATTCGGCCATTTTTGTTGGGCAGCAAAAGTAATTTAACAACGCACCTAACGTCCATGAATAGACAACAACTCAAGACCAATCCACACTGGTCAGTCATTCTGGTCATTCCCGAGGACGAGTTTTGGTACTCTACTGCGCAGTGACGTTAGTATTGAGTGCCTGCAATGTATTTCTTATGGGAGCACTCAATGCTACGTCACAACGGGTGCTGCGAGTTAGGGCCGGGCGGGGGAGTGGGGAGTGGATTTCAAAAAAGCTGCGCAATTACTGACCTGTGTCATGGACCAAGAGAATAAATAAGGACCCCCAACTCCAGTTAGGGTTGACATCAGCGCTGCCTGGCAGAGGGTGTAGTGAACTAAGCCGACGATTGGGTCCTCCTGTTTATATTTCCATGCACCACCTACCTATTTAGTTGCCTAGTTGCCTATTTACGCTTAACTAGGGCTTAACTGCTTATTAGCCGGCCAGGTTGGCCTAGTGGTCAGCGCGTCTGACTCTAGGTCAATAGGTCCCGGGTTCGAGTCCCGGTGGTGGCGTCTAATTTTCACGGAATTGACGAGTAGATCTGCTGAAACAGATTCTCCTCGGCCCTAATCCCTGAAAATTAGAAAAGCCTGGAGCATGGAGCCTGATGTCTACGGACACTAAACATTGTCTAAAGTTGGCTGAAGGTGCTATAGACACGAAGCCATTAAACCAGCAGAAAAAAAAACAAAAAAAAAACTGCTTATTACTCAGTGGCAGTGCCCATAGGCATAGAATAATAAGGCTACGACTATAGAAAGGACTGGTATTATCAAAAACCCGTGAGTTGAAGTCGCAATTACGATGTCTTAACGTAAGTTTTTTCCAATTTCGCACCCTGGAAGGTGAAGTTTACGTCTTGAAAATCCTTTTAGACTTTACCTGATGAAAATCCAGCGAGTTTTCAGAGAAGCCGTTGTTTTAGATAATTAATGAAAAGGGGACCATAATGTCCGATTTTTTTATTTGAATCAACTCATGATATAATTTCAAGCACTTTTTATAGAATGACTTTTTTTCATAAATTACACCATTTCCAAGATAATCGATGATGAACGTCGCTGCACCGACCTACGTCATCAAAAAAATTCCAAGATGCCCCGAAATGGTAAACACCTCCTTTTTTTCGCTATGACTGTCAAGGAACACTCCTGAGTCAAGACAATTTGAATCCATTTCTGATTGGTTCCCGTATTTTAGGCCTCCACAGTGTCACAAACGGGAATAAAGATTACATTTTCACCAATTGCAAAGATTATAATCTGGAATGGACCAGGGAATTACGGGTTCGGCAGGGAACAAACGGAATGAGAGGAGGAACGGAGAAAGGCATTTGAGAATGGGCCGATCAAAGATTACGAAAAACGTTCAATTTCTGTAATTTTTATTCCCGTTTGTGACATCCATGAGCCGAATTGTCTTGACTCTCAGTATAAAGGGACTCTATACTACAGGTATGGACAAATGGAATTTTAGAAAGTCGTCAAAACGCATATATTTGACAGCATCGAGAGTACGACTGCGAAAACCTGCGCGGCAAATGGACGGTACGACTTCATACGTCACTCGATCGCCCATTTTCTCAGCGCTGCCACTTCGGCACCCCATTTGTCCATACCTGTAGTAGAGTATACCTTGTATGACTGTTATTAGTAGAGTCCCTTTATACCCAGAGTTACGACAACTCGATTATCAGCTGACTGGCAGCCGTCCTTGGCTGGCCATGGAAGCCGAAACGAGTGCACCCAAACGAACGATATTGAGGGATAAGGATCAGGAATCCTGCGATGTCTGTCACACAAAAACAACAACATCAACAAAGTGATCAATTAAAAAGAAAATGAGATTGGTTTGTGAATAATTTCTTAATCTATTTTCATTTTGGACCTACGGAAATAACAATTTACTCTTGATAAACCACAATTAGGTAATATTTTCATTATTCTTGTTCACATTCGAGGTACCGCCATCTTGGTGCACTCGTTTCGGCCTCCATGAGCGAGAACCAATCAGAATTCGATTGTTTTTTAGGCCACTTTCAGCCCAATCCTGGCCCAACCAAAAGTGAGTTGTCGTAACTCTGGGTATAAAGGGACTCGATTATTAGCTACGGAATATCGAATTCGAATGCGATAGAGTACCTTTATAGACTACTCTAGAATGCGATTATTCGACTTTGTGATTGCGGATATTTCGGAAGCGATTATTCGAATGTGATGCGATTATCTCGGTGCCGATAATGGAGATGTTGCATGTGTGAGGGATTTGCGATTTAAGGTGGATCTTCAGAAAAATGTTCGGCGTTCTGCCAGCACGTCGCGCTAGCGGTCAAAGTGGGACTGCGACAGACTGCTCCGCAGCTGTCTTCGACAGTTGGCAGTTCGTCACCTTCGTCACTCGCAATCAGCGCGGCTTGAACGGTCGCACGCATTTCTCCTCCTCTTCTCCTCGTCGGCCGCAAGGCCGCCCCGTGCAAAGGGCCCGGCCG